CCCAAGTGCGATGCTTAACCACCTGAGCCACCCAGGTGCCCCTCTATTATATACTATATCCTTACAGTAATACCTGCCTTTGTCTTAAAATTTTTTTTGGCGTTTGTAGACTATGCAGTTCCTCTAAGTTTCTTCAAATAGTGGCAAATCTCCAAAAAATTTTTCCAATATAGTTATTTTAAAAAGTTCCACGTGTTAGTGGACCTGTGCAGTTCAAACCCATGTTGTTCAAGGGTCAATTGTACTTGAAACTGCCTTTTTAATATAAAAGCGTCTGAGATATATAAAGGATTAGTGTAAGATACATGAAAGCCTCAGCAAAGATCTCTGTACCTTCTTTCTCTGGTCTTGTCCAGCACCTCCAGCCTGGTTTCTTCCCTGCACTTGGAGCTATGGTGGGGGGTTGGGCAAGTGTGGTGCTGGGGCAGGTGCTCCACTGTGTCATATCCAGGCTGTCCTACAGGTGCTGGATGTTACACTGTAGTGGGAAAGAGGTGGCGCAAAAATGGTGGAAAAAGAAAAGGGGATCTGAGTGGAAGTAGTGACATTGATACACTTTCCCACCTCCTGGTCTTTCTTTAAATGTCGTCTTCTCAGTGGATCTTTTCAGACCTGTTTAAAATTGCAGCTCATTTCCCACTCTATCCATGGTCTGTGCTTTGTTTTGTTTTGTTTTTCTATAGCTCTTATCACCACCTAACATACTATATTTGTTATGTATTTGTTTTGTCTTTTTCCTCCCGTCAGAATGAAAGCTATTTGAAGGTGGGGACTTTTCATATCTGGTATGACATGTACCTGTATGGTACATCAAGGTGCTCAGTATTTGTGGAGTGAATAAATGGTTAGTCTCATTTCCTCTGCTTGGCTCTTTTTCCACTCCCAAAGATTTGCAAAATTAAGAAAGGAAGAATACAGACAAAATATAATGGAAAAAAAATCCATTCCCTTGTCCTGAAGAAATTAAGACTCAAGAGTGAAATATTCAGCAAGACAGACTCTACTTACACTGACTTGTGTCCCCCACCCCAAAGCAAACTCAGGTAGATCTTATACGTACTGGGGTGTTTATTGGAACAACAGGATAAGCTTTTGGAATGGTGACTGTTCTGGAAAATATGAGATGCATCATTAATATGACTATTTAAACTACTGTAACTATAAAGGGTGTGGGGAGCCCTCACAGAAACCTAGTGGTAAGCCCTGGAGATAGTCTTAGGCCCAAGTAGTTTAATTTTCTTTCTGGCAGCAAGATCCAGGAACTCGGTCTGCTTTCCTCTCTGACACTTATCCTTACTCTCAAACAGGGAAACCAAAGCTAGTAAGTGATTAAGCTGGATTTAAGCCTAAGTCTCTTTGATTTCTTTCCACAGTGCTGTGGGGAGAAGCTGGGGAAGGAGACAGAATGAGGGGTAGGAAGAGAGCTGTGGCTGGGAATGAAGAAGGAAAAGGAGAAAATGGGAAAACCTGCAGTCGTTGTACATTTAGATAGTCCATGAATAGGCCCTAATGAGGTCTGTCCACCCTTTAAAATTATATGCAATTTTTTGTACTTTTTTTTCCCCCAAATTGCGGGTTAGCAGTTCCACAGATTCTCAAAGAGATCTGTGACTCCAGAAAGATTCTGAACCAACTGCTGAACCATGCAGTTTGTCTGTAGTATTTTCTATTGAAGCTATTTTAAATGGATTTTTTTTTTAAGTTTTATTTTTATTTTAAGAGAGAAAGAGAGACAGAGACAGCATGAGTTAGGGAGGTGCAGAGAGAGGAAGAGAGCGAGAATCCCAAGTGGGCTCTGTGCAAAGCCTGATGTGGGGTTCAAACTCATGAAACTGTGAGATCATGACCCGAGCTGAAACCAAGAGTTGGACACTTAATAGACTGAGCCACCCAGGCATCCCTGGAATTCTTTTTTTCTTAAAACAGGGAAAGAGAAAACAGAGTTCTCCCAGGCCAAATAGCTTATAAAAGTCTGATGATAGGCAAAATGGTGAAATAGGTGAATTTTCTCAGCTGTGTCTGTGAAAGCAGAAGTTATGGATGTTCAGTTTCTATCAGTAGAAATAGTTGTAAAATCTTGAAACCCACTAGATTACAGGACAGAATAATTCACAATGTGTTGTAGAATTTGACAAAGTATGGTTTGTTTTCACAAGCTTCTGTATTGCTTACAAAATACCTTGAAGATTTGGGACATGAGCTTTGATGCATGGTATGGAAAAGGATGAAAATAAGATGGTCCTGGAGAATCTGAGGTTATGGTCTAGCATCCACAGACCTTGTTTGAGGGTTTAGGGCAGATATCAGCAAATGACTATTGCAGGCCCAATGCGAGCTGCCCCATGTTTGTAGTTTATTAGGACACAGCCACACCCACTTGTTTCCATATTATTTATAATTGCCTTCAGCTACCAGGCAGAGTGGTATTGTTCCTATGGGGATCATATGGCCTGGAAAGCCTAAATTATTAGTTACGTGGGTTTTTACAGAGAAAATTGGCCAACATTGGCCTAGGGTCTAAGTGTGTGAAAGAAACCAGAAGAGGCTTGTATGATTTGCACACATACCTTCCTTCAAAATCTGTAGTACGTCCATTCATATTAGCAATCGGTGTGTACATTTGAGCATCATTTATAGCCATAGAAGCAAATTCTGCCCTGTGCCCAAACTTTCCTTTGATTCTATGTGTTGATCACTTGAGTAATGTGTGTATTCATTTATTTAACTAAAGTTTCATTTTTGCCCATGTCCCATAATACATTTCCACTTGACACTTTCAAATTAATTTAAGCTTTTTTTTTTTTTTTTTTTTTACCTTAGAGAACACTTTTGTAGTTTAAAAACTATCATGGTAGAACAGTTCAAATTAGGTAACTCACTGGGAAAGAATAATTTGGTGGCAATTGAAGAATTTGGAAAATTTCTTTACCTGTTGTGTTTTGAACTATTAATCATCATCAGCTATAATTATCCTCACAAATTCCCAATGGTAATTTTCATCCAAATGGCATTGTATATTTGAGTAATGCTTTGTCAAATGTTTTCACATGTACATTATTTCAAACAACTCTGTGATGTAGTCAGGGTAGGAATATTACCAAGCATCACCTTTCCTTTGTTTTCAAGTGTGAACATTGAGGCTTAGGGGACTCAAGTAATTCCTTCCTGGTCACATGGGGAATTAGTGATGGTGCCTGGGCTGGGATCCTATAATCATTAGTAATTGGAATCACTCTTTTGTATTTGTATTTTGACATATACAGAAGTCAGAGACTCAAGAATATTAATTTCTATTCATCTATAAAATGAGGATAAAATCTTGTAGGACTGCTGTAAACTTTAGAGATTATGTACAAATTTGCTGAGTACAGTGCCAGGAGCAGAGTAAACATTTTGCAAATTATGACTAATGCTATACTTTCCCCAGGATTATGGGATTATTTTTATTCTCTTAATTAGAATATGCCATTTATTAGACTATACCATTCTTAACTTCTCTTTTGCAAAAAAAAAAAAAGTATGAAAACTGTTCTCTCTCCACCATGGTTGCACATTTCTTCATTTCCCCAAGTGAGCTAACAATATCAGAACAACTAAACTTAAGACAATGTATCAAACTCAAATAAAATGCAGCGTTCAAGTTTACATTTCAGGTTTTTTTTTTTTTTATTGTTGTCTCATTTACTCTGGTAAATTCATACCCCAATTTAAAATGCCCCAAAGCAAATAAAACTTTTTTATAAATTCAAATACTGTATTTTAAAATGTACATGTTATACACACAAGAGCTGCATAGTGGAATTACTATAACAAGCAGTTACATTCATGATGCCCAGTACTGTTTTTAACACTGCATATAGATTACGCTAGATACATTGTTTTATTATGCTCACTGTTGCTTAGTACAGTGACTGATACAATAGCGTATACCGTTGCATTTTCCAAAGCATTGATAAAGTCAGTAGCATAGCATTTAACTAATACTGAATGAAAACACTTATGTACAGGACATATTTTAGGTCAGATGCTTGCACAAGAATAAGCATTTAACGTGCCGTTGTATCCTTGACAAAACAAAATCATCCCTTTCGCTAATAGAATAAGACAGGCTAAAAGGAATCTGAAGTAATTGAAAAAGAAAATTTTAAATTTTATATCCCTGTATTATGTTAAAGACTAACACAGTTTTCTCCTGGTTAAAGTACACATTTTGTTCTGTTTGAAATAGAGATTGCAAAGACTATACTAAAAATGCTAAATGAGCTGTAGCCCTTATATGACACTTTAGCTGGGAAAAAGTATGGTGAGTTGTACTCAACATTTTTTTTTGCTTAGAAAAAAAGTGATAGCCTATAAATTTCTAATGTTTTAAAACAGGTGTTTATTATTTAAGGTCTTAAATAAATATGCCTGTATTAAACAAATTAGGTTGTTTAAAAAACTTTGCAACAATACTTGACTTATTCACAAATATATTTTCTGTCCATATTTATTACAGTTTGAACAATTTAAAAACAAATCCTGCAAATAGCTTAGATAACAATACTGTTATCATAGTTCACATAAATGATTGCAAGAAATATTTTTAATACTTTTTATAGTATCTTATCTAATGCTCACATTGAATATTCAAGTTAGTCACATTGAACTTGACAGATGGAAAAGTCGAAATGTGGAGATTGGAGAACTCTACTCTAGTAACCATAGCAACGAGATTTTCATTTTTTGTTTGTGCCGCTGGCCTTCGCATTTTTTTGCGGGGGAGGACACAGCCTTAAAGTTCTTTGAATAAAGTTACTCTTCTGGAAATCAGATAATGACTACAAAAAGCTTTTGTATGAAGATTAACTTAATTTTATTTAATCATCAAATTAGCAAGGGGTGTGTTCTATAGTTTGCTCGGAACTGCTCATGGAAAGTAGCTCTGTTGGTTTTCTAAGTATGCAAATAATTGTCTCAAAAGAAAATTTTTTTTGGTGATGTGAATAGTGAGTCCTCTTTAAAAGTTTGTTTATAATTGTTTTCTTTTGTAAGTAGAAAAATCTTTTTAGATATAATCAGTCATGGAATAATGATGAATAAGTCCGTGTGATTCTTAATATTATATGGTTGTACTTAAACAAACTGTCCCCTTTCCCTAGAATTTTTGGCCAGTTAAGTGAAATTTCAAAGATCTAACTAAGCCAGCTTAACACTTACAGTCTCCAATAACATTTTAAGGAAAAAAAGAGGACTATGTGGAGTAAATAAAATAGAAATCATATTGAATTTCTGATTTTATTTTTAAGCTCCCTCTCTTCAAAGAATACATCCATAAATAGATTCAGAGAAATTTTGTTCCTTACTGTTTGTTTTCTGAAGAGAATCACACATTGATCATAACATACATACTTAATAATTGGGACGGAAGGTAGTCAGTATGGCCTACCCTTGGTCCACCCTAATGTCATTTTCAAATCAAGTCAAATACTGTCTTTGGATTAATTAGCTCCTGATGGAGGTTTGATAGAGGGGATACTACATGATCTTCTCATGATAAGCCTGACTTCTATATCTGGTAGATTATCCTGCTTAGTCTGTAAACACCCTTCATCAGTGGCTGCTAAATGAAGGTCAAATCGAAGAGAAACAGATTTTTTCCTTAATCGGGGGTTATCTTTAAAGAAGGAGCCTTCCCATTCCTTAATAACTTCATCCACTTTCTCTGTCCTGAAATGATAAAATAAACCTTTCCACATGAAGAAGTATGGATCTACTAAAATTGCACAATATGTATTCCATATAAAAAAGAAATCAAGAAATTTGTATGATTCATAATTGACACATTTTGAATTATAACTCACAGTAGACATAGTGGAATTTATAATTTACATACTTTAAAAATCAAATGAATATAATTTCCAAGGAATTCTATGCAATTCACATGTTTTGGTTATATTTTTAGAAAAATGGTGAATTAAGGGTTGAGTACTCCTTCCTCTGAGTTTTTGTTTATATATGTGTAGTCACGTCAGATTAAAAAATATCACAGCATATTAAAATTGTGTTTGGTAACATGCAAAGATCACCGAGATTACACAATTGAAGTTAATTTCTTTGCATGTGTTTATTATTGTTTCTTAGTCAAAATTATTTTACTTACTGAATTGTACCACGAGCCTCCGTGCTTTCCTTCACAACATTTCCATTCAGTATTGCTTGTTTGGTCACTGTTTCCACTTTTTCGTTCTCATACTTTTGTGGGAGTTTTGTTGAGAAAGATATTTCATTTATAATGGCTGTGAAAACATTATTGTGAAATATTCAATCACAATGTTTTAGTACTAGTCAATTTCCCTATCAAACTTTATTCAAACATTGCTTGTTTTTGCAACTGTACAGTATTATTTATAATCCCTATCAATGGCATTTTACTTTTCAAGTTTGTTTACTTATATCAGAAACTCACCTGAAGGTAAAACAAAGCCAACTCTACTTGTCGTAGGTTTTTGTTCTTTTTTCTCCCCTTGGATACAACCATAATATCTGAAATTGGAAAGAATTATAGAAGCAAGACCATATTAGCCTTCAATTGAAACAAATGCTCACCAATAAGAGAATGGATAAATTGTAGTATATTCATACAATGGGAATACTACTTAGCAGTAAAAATAAATGAATTAAGGGTACACTATATATTTTTGATGGGCCAGTGGGGTGGGGGTGCAGAGAGAGAAGCAGACAAAGAATCTGAAGCTGTTAGCACAGAGCCTGATGCAATCTTCGAACTCAGGAATGGTGAGATCATGTCAAGGCCCAAGTCAGATGCTTAATCAGCTGAGACACCAAGGTGCCCCAGGGTACACTGTGCCTTTATGGATGAATCTCCCAAGTATAACATTGAGGTGGGGGGAGGTAATTTGTAGGTAATTTTATAAAGTTTAAAATAACACACAGGGTGCCTGGGTAGCTCAGTTGGTTAAGTGTCCGACTTCAGCTCAGGTCATGATTTCACAGTTTGTGAGTTTGAGCCCCGTGTTGGGTTCTATGCTGACATTTGAGAATGTGGAGCCTACTTCAGATTCTGTGTGTCCCTTTCTCTCTGCCCCTTCCCCATTTGTGCTCTGTGTCTCTCTCTCAAAAAGAAATAAACTAAAAAAATAAAATACACAAAATATTTCACTTTTTGCTTAGGGATACATATATACATATTAGTATAAAGGAATGTATGAGACTGAGAAGCATCAAATTCAGGAGCCAAGTTAGACTGAGGGAGAAGGAGAAGATGGGGGAATGTGCTTTAGGTGTCTAGGGTCAGGGTGGAGAGATTGCAACAGTCCTATAAACATTTCACTTCTCGAGCTGGGGGAAGTGTGCACACAAAGTTTGTGAGATTCTTCTTGATGCTTTCTTGTATACCTTAAATGTAGTGTAATAAAAATGTTTTAAATTGTATTAAAGGAATGCAGGTTTAAAGGTTTAAAGACCACTTTATCATCATCTTGAATGATTAAGCATTAAATAAAATCCACCACCACTTATTTAATAACAAACTATATGTGTGTGTATATTTATATAGCACTCTTTTAAGCACTTTACAAACATTAATCTATTTAATCTGCAAGGCAATCCTATGAGGTAGGTAATATTATTCCCATTTTATGGATGAAAAAACCCCGAGCCACAGAGAGGTTCAGTAACTTGTCTCATGTCACTCATGTTAGTAAGTGGTAGATTTGTAATTCACTTTGTGTTTTTCAAAGCTTTAATAAATGTCAAGACTTATAGGTTAAAGTAGTTTCCTCTAATTTTGTAGAGGACTAAGAATTCTGAGGCAAGCAAGAATGAAGGTTTCTTTTCAGGGGAATATGGAAAATTGGAGGTTGTGCTGTGCTCAAAGCCATGTGACCTTATAAGTGATTACAGATTATGAAACTGTAAATTAGTAAGAATTCTTCTTTTGATATTTTGATACCTTTTGTTATCAGGACATCTGGAAGACGTTCAAAACATGTACTCAGAACTAAACTGCTTTTTATGGTTGTTATAGAATCTCACTTTATTATTATTATTAGTATTAATTTTGGCTTTTTTGTATGGTGGGAATGGGCCTTGGGTGGGGAGATGTGGTAATAGGTGAATTTTCCAAGCTTTCTTTGTGAGTGGTCCATGGAAGACTCTGACTAATTCTGAAAGAGATGAATGGTAAAGAAAAGGAGGAAGTTAAGAAAGGTCATTTTTGTAGCAACTGAGAATTATTTACATATCGTTCTAGGCCTGAAGTGCTCCTTGTTATAGCTAATGTCCCCGACTTTGGCCATCCTGTTCATAATTTTGGGAGGCTGGAAATAGTTCTTATTCTTTGGACTGCCTACCAATCCTATTTTGTTTAGGAACCCAGTGAGCATGCTGTGGTGATGCTGGGGTTTTATTTATTTTTTAAAAATGAACTTAAAAAACTCTTTATTTTTGAGAGAGAGAGAGAGAGCAGAGGAGGGGCAGAGAGAGAGGAGGAGAGAGAGAATCTCAAGCAGGCTTCACACTGCCAGTGCAGAGCCCCATGCAGGGCATGACCTGAGCCAAAATCAAGAGTCCCCATGCTTAACCGACTGAGCCATGCAGGGGCCTCTAATGTTGGGGTTTTAGGTGTGATTTCTGACTACCTCAACAAAGACTCAAGTGACTCTGTATTTCTGGCCACTTGTCATTAACTACTATATATGGAATCAGGTACCTGATTTCTTCCTTTTCTAGGAGGCGGCGATAAGTGGCAATTTCTTGTTCTAGCCTCATCTTTGTGTTGAGAAGCATCTCATGCTCTTGAAGCTGCTTTTCGATGCCGCGCCTTACTTCCTGTAGCTCTTTTTCTAGTCCTTCGATCACGGCTTCTAGGTCTTGCAACTGCATCTGGTAATGTTGCTCACTGGCATGTAGGGAGTTTTCAAGGCCCCTTTCCTGTTTTATATAGATTGTCATCAGTGAATTAGCGCAACAGAATGCTTCTGAAACCTGATGTGCAATGCGTTCATTCTATTGTGTTCTTTATTTTGAAGTGCCACTTATGCAAGAGGTGCAAGAGATGCTTCCTTACAACTTTGTGTATGACTCAAATGACAAAAATCATATTATAGCTAGGGTGCTTACTATTTCAAAGGAATCCTGTGATAATTCTAATGGTAAAAAAAATCTGTAATGTAACTGAGTTATTATCACTCTGATTTTTTGATTTTTAAAAAATTGAGAATGTGGAATATCGGATGTCAAAGCAGAGCTGGCTGCTTTTAAAGGCATTTTAGGAAAGGGTTTAAATATTTTTTAGTGTTATAAGTCACAGGGGTGTAGATAGAAGATTTCCCATCATTTGGATAATGACAAAGATTGTGTTCTCCCATGCCAGAAATTAGAGGACCCCAGGATGATAAGCAAGGATTACTTCCTTCTTTATAGGCGTGAACTAAACCTCGAGTGAAGTGCGAATAGCCATGGCCATGATGGACAGAGCAGCGTAGTTGAACTAGCACCATGGATAGATATCAGTGGCCTTGATTTTCAGTTTCTCACTGGAGGGTAATAGGCATTATTCCTTTCTCTTAATCAACAAATGCCGGGGGACTCAGTAGGCCAGTCACTTTCAAGATCAAGATCATTCTCACCACCGCCTGGAGAGATTCAATTTCCACTTGCAGGTGGTGCCACTGGCGTCGAGCTTCCTTGAGTTCTGCTTGAGCTGCTTTTAAAGCTTCTTCATCCTTGTCCATTTTTTTGCTCATATCTTCTTCTAGCTTTAAGAAAGCCACCACCGCCAAGAACAACAGAAACAGAGAGCACCCTTGAAAATGAGACCTTTAAAATTAATCCTCAGAGCATAGTATAGGTATCTCATCATTTTTTCTTTAACCTGTTAAATTTCAAATGTGTGTTCTGGTGCTTCGTTACTAAGTAATCAGGTAGGGGAGCGAGTGGATTGCATGCTGAGCTTTAGTTTTCTCAGATATAAGAGGGACCTCAGGAGTCTCTTCCTACTATAGCAGTCTAGGAAATGCAGAGAAAAATACATCTATTTTAATGAAAAGTAACAGTTTGCAGGATCTAAGTTTAAGACCTCTGCTTCTGAATATTCTATTATTTATGGCATTACTTAGGAAGAAGGATTGAAACTCAGCTATTGTTTCCCCCCATCTTTTCTTGTAGGTGGCTTTGTAAAAGCAAATAGCCATATGCCCTAAACCGATCAATTCTGGGACTGGGTATATGGACAGGGTTTAAATACTGCTGGAAAGTATATTATGAATAATTTAGAGAATTAAGTTATCATAGGCCTTAGAGGCTCTAAAATAGACTTCTGTATAAAGAGAACCCACTGTTGATTTACCTTTTTCAAATGATCTTTTTGGAAAGCGTGTTAATCTTGGGTATCTAGGGAAGTAGCAAAAATTACATCTTTAAAGATTGTTTTCTAAATGTCAACATATTAAATATTAAATGGAATATGTTATATTTGGTTTTAAATGTTGATGCTGATGTTCAAATCAAATGAAAATATCTTTTGATAGAATTCTTGACATTTGGCCCCAAAAGCAGCAGAAGCAATGTAGGGAATTGATTGTGTATAATTTTTAAAGCCAAAATTATAACTTTTAATATTTTGATCAAAATGCATTTTGAAATTTAAAAAATTTGAATTTGATGACACAGTAGGCTTTTTTAAAAAGAAAACATTGGAGTAAATGAGCGTTTACAAATAAAATTCAGGGCAAAGCATTAAAAGAACAAAATTCATACATTTCTTTTGGTTTGTTGTATCACTTATTCTTAGCGTTAACGTTGGCAAAGTCCAGCAGCAATACACATCAGAGCAATTACAAAACAGAATGTCAAGAACTTAGGAAATAGAAGAGCATAAAAAAAGGCTGATATCTTCCAGTCTTTTGGATTTTGCGGATGGAACTGGCAGCTATACTTGCATGTCAGCTGGAGTACAAAGATGGCCTCCAACAAACCACACCTCCTCAAATTCATGTCCTCGTGTGGTCCCCTTCCAAACCAAATCTGGGCAGACCTGGGTCTTGCTTTAGCTAGTATAATGTGGCAGAAATGCCCATTCTAGCCCTAAACCTTAGGAAGCCCTGAAAACTTGCACTCCTGTGCTTTTGGGAGTCCTGGGCAAGCGTGTTAAGAAGTCAGGATGTGCTGCTGGGGAGATCACATAGAGGCCAGTTGGAGACAGAGACACAAACCCAATAGTCTCAGCTGAGCCAGCCTTCCAAAACCCCCCCTGGCCAGGTGCCAGACACATCAGTGAGCCACCATAGACGTCCTAGCCCAGTTGTGCCCCAGGATGATTACAGTCACAGCCAACGTCATGTGTAGCAGCAGAAGAATCACCCCCACTGAACCCAGTCAACCCACAGAATCATGAGGGACAATGCCATCGTTTTAATCCACTAAATTTTGGGGTGGTTTATTCTACAACAATAAACCACCAAAAGCTTATGTTTCTTTATCGTGTAATAATTAATCACTTCTGAATTCGTTCCAACTGACTTTCTGAATTCCTTGAAAGAAATCCCCTAAAGCAGATTGATGTTAAGAAGACTTGAAATAAAACTTATTGTAATTTTGCCCCTTTAATTTACTCATTTTGGCATCATGACTTACAAACTAGATAGCCTGTGTTGGTACCATTGCAAAATAAAATGTCTCTTTGATTTATAATTTTCAGAAATTGTCATCTATTAATATTTTCCCCTTCTCCTTGCAAAAGGTGAGCAAACGATTCCAATAGTTAAATATCCCAGTGACTTTGCTTGATTTAGGATACTGATCATTCTTTGTGAAGACTGGAAATATTACCCAGAGGTGCAATTTATATTGTTACCAAAAATGAATTGCTAATGAAATAAAGTCTTATGATTTCCTAGAAATATTTTTTTCCTTTTGGTGAGGCTCTTAAGATTACCCTTTGCCGTATTTGGGTGTCTGGACCAGAATTTGAAGTCAGATATGATAGGTAAACAAAATGAACAAACCAACAAAACACCCCAAATCCTGAGTTTTAAAATTTTTGTTTCTAAAATATTTGTACATTTATTTAAACATTTGAGACATTCATCAATTGCTAAAGGTGATTGTCACTTTAAAACAAAGTAAGTCTATGAAATTGAGAGTCAGCCCTTATTTAACTTGGCTTCCTCTTTTTTTAATGCTTAAATAGTTCATGACTTGTATTGGAAATAAACATTTCTCATCTTGTAGTACACAAGCAAAAATCTATAAGGGGAGAGTCATTATCAATGTGGGGAATTTCGATCATCCCAACTTATATCACTGCTTCTGAATGCCATGTTCACATATTTAGATAATTTCTATTCATAACAATCTGGTATAAAACAGCCCATTAAAACGATGATGGAAACCTTTTAGAAATATTTTACTTAGTTTTATTTCTACAAAGTATGCAAGCTAATAAATCTTATTAGACAGCTTGCCATATTAAAGATGTTATTTAAACAATCTCTATAAATAACTACGTGATATCTTTGAAGGGTATTTGAAATACTTCCTTCCTGAAGGATGTCTAAAAGAGGTTAGAGTGCCCCATTTTATTGTATGTTGGCCCCATGTTTCGTTATTGATAGTAACCTCCTAATTGATATAAACATCGAATGCATCAATTGACATTTACTGAATGGTCACTTAACAGTATAATCAGAGCGTTTTCCCCTGTATTCCAGTCACATTGCAGAAAAACCTAAATTCCTTCCCCAGTAGACACTGCATTGAAAAGGAAATACTGTACCTCAGAGAGGCCGGGACAGGAATTGGATAGACATGGATTGTCTCCTTATCCTGGAAGGTGCCTGTCTGTATGAAATCATTACCTGGATCCTTGTTGAGAGCACCGTCTCTATCTGATTTTTCGTGAGGAGCTTTTCATAGTTTGCCCTGATCTCATTGAGTAGCTGGGACAGCTCCATTCTTTTCCCATCCTCCACCTTGGCTAAGTGAACCTTATCGTTAGGATGAGTCGCTGCGGCAGAGCTGGTCTGTCTGCATCGAGCAGAGAGAGAGAGAGCCAGAGTGCCTCGGAGCCTTAAAGATGCAGAGCTCCTTTTTCAGAACCTCGGAAATTCCTGGGTCTCTAATCAATTATGCAAATACTTGGCAAACCCTTTTCTCCTATTGTTGTCGGTTTGGTAGAGGTGTTAGACTCTCCATTAAAGAACAGAAAAAGGAAAACATCATCAGTATTCCTAAATTGGTTCTCTGTGAAGTTGGGTCCTTGGGGGTGGTGGTAGGGGGTGTCAGTTTATCTTGTCGAAAAAGACGTGGGGAGTAAGATGAAGAAAATTGTATTTTGTTTTTCCCAAGATATTGCATAGAAATTAACCTGGGCTGCAAACATGATAGCTAAAATTTTCTTTTATAGTTTTTCTTGCCATTTGGATTATTTAAACAGAAATGCTGTGGTAGGGCATTATTAGAATATGTTGTACATCTGGAGTATTCTAATAGGTGTTGGGAAAAGCTACCATCAGATTAAGTTGACCATTGTCATTAGTCACAGGACTGATTGTATTTCTCTCAAATGCATACTGTGTGGATCACAGCAGGCTGCTGGCCTGATGGCAGGGCTTGATGTATTGAGGCGGATTCCTGAAGGCATATCCAGATGAAGCTATGGCCGCAGATAGGTGTTAATAAATTGTGAGAGCTGAGAGTTAACATTCCCAATGTGTTAACAAGGTTGAAGAAACGCAACCAGATGGTCTGCATACAGGGGGTATTCACTGGGTAAGATCTATTGTAGGGTTACCCCTTCATTAGTAAACATATAGTGACAACTCATACCTGTAAATATAACATGTGGGCAGCTCTTCTAACTTCAAAAAACGTCTTTGCATCTATCATTCCATCCAACCTTTATAATTCCTGTTGCTTTATAACCTGAAAAGGTGACAAGCCTGAAGTGTAAGGGGTTAAGGTGTTTTGTCGTATGGTGATGCGATGGCATCTTTGGGATTGGAACTATGATTGCTTGGTTGTCTTCCATATATTGTCTCATCTGCCTCTGCATTCTCTCTCTCGTCACCTAAATGCATTGTTTACCCTGGCCAGCTCGCTGTTATGACTGAAATGTTGGTGACTGAAATATTTTCGAGAATGGATCCATCGTCATTGTTATTTGTTGAGTGGCTTGGCTGGAATTGTGTCCAAGCCGTATTTCAGGAAATAATCAATCCTTGGCTCTAGTGCCCCCAGGGCCTTTGAATGTGCAGTGTGTTCTTTTAATTTCTGAATTAACACACTGCTGGCCAGGCGAGTCTGTGCTGGGCATTCCTACAGTCCCCTGTAAACAAAGCTGGCCATCTACTGATCCTGCTGAGAGGAGAGGTTCCGGGTCATTCCTGTCCTCTGATTAACCTGACCCTTGCCTCCTCCACCTTCCCCACCAGCCACAAGTGTTTGGCCTAGAGATGGACACTTGACTGAAGTATAGACAATCCATAGGACAGAGACCTATGAGTTAGCCTGATACAAAAGCTCTGATTACAAAGGGTCACTTATGATTATCTAAACCAGACTGATCCTCTTTCTTGGACATTGCAACTGAGAAATACAAAGAGAATCAGGCACTTGGTAGTGGGAACAAAGAGCAAAAAAGTAAAGAATTACAGGCATTACTCGGGGCGCCTGGGTGGCTCAGTCGGTTAAGCGTCCGGCTTCGGCTCAGGTCACGATCTCACCGTTTGTGGGTTTGAGCCCTGTGTCGGGCCCTGGAACCTGGAGCCTGTTTCAGATTCTGTGTCTCCCTCTCTCTCTGCCCGTACCCCACTTGTTCTTTCTCTCTGTCTCAAAAACAAGTAAACATAAAAAAATTTAAAAACAAAAGTGGTCAGGGCAAGATCATGGAAAAGCAGGTGATGAAGGCTGGGTTTTATTTTGCAAATAATGGAGAATCATTGCTGATTAATGAAAGGGGAAGTCACATGGCTGGATTAATTTGGAAGTAGTGCAAAAGGTTTCAGAGTAGGGATGGCCGATTTGAGAAGCAGTGTTAATGAAAAACAACAGAAAGCTGTTTCCACCAAAGTTCAGGGTGAGAGACCCTAGAAAGCTGAATTTGAGTAACAATATGGGAGTAGAGCCAGGGGAGCAGGTGTGACCTCAGGAGCTTCAGTGAGGCACAGCTGTTTACTACAGGGAAGAGGAGTGGGGTCACATGATCAGAAACTGTGAAGACAGGAGGATAATGGGACTAATTTCAGTCCAGACCCTTAAAGCTGCAGGATGTAGTAAAGGAACAGTCAAGCCTCTGTCTGCCAGTTACTAGCAAGGTGAGCTTGGGTAAAGGACCGGTACCCTTTGAATATCAATGCCCTCATCTGTGAATTGAGATTAATGATACACTTCTCATACTACTACTACTATAGCTGCTCACGGTGGTAGATGTTGTTGAGATCCTTGGTTTACAGATAAAGACACTGAAATACAATCAAGTGCAGAGCGAAAACTCAAAGCCAAGCAGTCTGACTCCACAGCCAGCCCCTTTACAGCTCAGCTGCTAATTTCCTGGTAATCAGAAGTAAAACACTGGCATATAATAGAGGTCTTTAAATCCTTGCTACTTATACAGGGAGCGGGTTAGAAATCTAGGCTCTCAGGCCGCACCCCAACCTTCTAGATCAGAGTCTGCATTTAATCAAGATCTCTAGTTAATCTGTGTGCACATTGGTGCCACTTTGACGATCACTGGTTTTTGGGACTCCTGGGTGGCTCAATGGGTTAAGCTTCCAACTTCAGCTCAGGTCATGATCTCGTTCATGAGTTCAAGCCCTCCGTTGGCCTCTGTGCTGACAGCTTGGATCCTGGAGCTGGTGCTTCAGATTCTGTGTCTCCCTCTCTTCTTTGTCTCTCCCCCTCTCATGCTCTGTCTGTCTCTCTCAAAAATAAATTTAAAAATTAGATAAAAACAAAATCACTGGTTCTCAAACTTGCTGCACAGTGAGCTCACTTGGGGGACCTTAAGGCACAGGGATATTGCATCCCCTCCCAGAGATTCTGATTTATTAGCTCAGGATGTTTTGCCTGGCCATTGGCATTTTTAAAAACTCTCCAGGTGAGTCTGATATGTGGCAAAGTTTGACAATTATAGCTGTACATGTTATGAGTGTTTCCTTTTACTCATCCCTCTCCCACTTGACCCAAAGGAAATGGGTTGTTAGTACAGTGTCTAAAGTAAGACTCTAGAAGTTGAAGATTGGCAAATCCCAGTATTCATGTGGTAGTTGTTGCAAATCTGAGTCAGGTAGATAAGACATAAGAATTGTTTACTTTTCTGTAACAAATTAATCTTTCCTTTGAGCTCCCATTCTGTAGAGGATCTGTGATGAAATCTCATCAATTGGGTTTCTTGCTTTTTCTCTAAAATGTTATGTCTAAGTTTTGGGGAACTTTGGTAGCTGAGATTAGGGGGTCAGTATTGTCCTTGATGTCATTCTGTCCAAGTCTGTGTTCACTAAGTCAGTCCATTGTTCTTTCCATTTGTCCCATTCAGGATGTTGGGGAAATGATTATAAACAATATCTCCCAACCCAGATATCTCCACAGAGATAGTAGAGAAAGAAAATGGGTTCTTTGTTTCTTTTTTTAATCTTTTATTTATTTTTGAGAGAGAGAGAGAGACAGCATGAGCAGGGGAGGGTCAGAGAGAGAGGGAGACACAGAATCTGAAGACAGGCTCCAGGCTCTGAGCTGTCAGCACAGAGCCCCATGCAGGGCTCGAACCCACGAACCGTGAGATCATGACTTGAGCTGAAGTCAGACACTTTAACTGACTGAGCCACCCAGGCGCCCCAGAAAATGCTTTCATTATTGCATACACATTAAACTGAAATGTAATACACAGCACAGGTCATCCAAGAGGTTGCAAAGACAGAAAGAAATCTTACCCTCGTATGTAGCCAAGCAGATACAACCCATACATCCCTATTCTCAAGATAAGCAATAACTAGTCCGCAAGTAAGAGGACTTGCCAGCACCATTTGTCACACTAGCTCACCTGGTAATTTGGTGACTTTACATAGTAATTGGAGTGTCCATCTGGGTTCACTAAGAGGCTTTGTAGAAGGAAAAATATACTTCTTTATAACAGGATGTAGTTTTGAGAGTCTCCTACCTCCCCATAGAAACTGGGAGACAGGGCTGCTATGTTCCTTATGTTTGCAATCCGAAGATATGGCTCCCTGGTCCTTGAGAAAGACAGTTCTGGGTCATAAAGCTGGCTAAGGGCTTGTTTAGCTTTTTAAAAGATTTACTCACCTTTCAAAGAGACAGAGAAAGGATTTACAATGACAAGTTTTCTAAAGCAAATGCTCTAAGAAAATGGAGTGGGAGTGTGGTGTCTCTTCCCTTATTTTCAACAGGGAGAATTAAACCTCTTATTTTTAATTTGTGTTTGCCCTCACAGCATCCTGCTGTTCTCTTCCATACGCCCTTCCATGCCTGAGGGCTTGGAGCCATTCTGTGGCTTCCGTGTGCCCGTGACATGGAAATAGCAGGTATATTGCTTGTGGCTCCATCTGCCCAGACATACTGCTCAACCAAAACCTATTTGGCCCTCATCCCTTTCTTGGGGACACAATCTAAGAAGCAGGACACAGAGCTCCTAAGCAGGCAGGTCTCCAACTTGCCTTCCGTTTTGCTGCTTTGACTCTGAAGCTGGGCCTGGGCATCCTCTTCTCTCAGGGACCCACCACTGCCCATCTCCTTTCTCTTCTCCCCTTAGGTGCAGAGAAGCTGTTCTATTCTTGAGGGTTCTAGTCTAGAATGTAAGTTCCAAGACCTGTCTGTCTGGTCATGAATCTAGCTAGCTCTGTGCCTAGCCCGAGATGGCAGACCCCAAAAATTAAAAAATGTGTGTAGAATGAATGTTTCTTCTGTACCTTCTGTCTGGGCCCTGAGTCCTCCTCAGTCTAACACTAAGGGCTTTGTTCACTCTCCCCAGAGGTGACGAACAAAGTCACTTATTTGCTAGAAG